TGAATGCGGCAAGCATTTGAGGGTGGCAGAAGCGAAGTGTGTCGGGAAATGTGCGAGCTTAGCGTAGTCTTGGGGCCCGTAACAGCGTAGTCTTGGGGCCCGTAACAAAATGGCAGCCGTGGATGTAAAAAATTAACGCGAAACCCATCCGTAACATTGAATTCCGCCATTCAAAGATATGGAACGCAAGCTAGGCATGAACGGCCCCAGGTTGAAAAAAGTGTTTCCGTGTTTCGCGTTTATTGTTTACATTTTCGCGGGCAGCTGCCGATCTTGCCCTACCTGGAACTCGCGGCCTTTGAATGGCGAAATCCAATGTTATGAATAAATTTCGCGTTTATTGTTTACATCCACGGTATCTGCACCGACACCGATCCTGGCCAGGCTTCTCCTGGGCCCGGGGCCAGCGCATGTACGCCCTCCTGGCCCGGACGGGAAGGCATGCACACCGGATCCTGGGCCCAGGAACGGCCTGGCCAGGATCGGTGTAAGTGTACAGTCAGGTCGCAGGATCAGGATGCGCCGTAGGGATGCCAAGGGCCTTGAAGGCCATGTTGACGATGTTCGAACAGGACTGCCAAAAGAAAGATGCCAAGGATGGGCCGAAGGGGCAAGGATGCAAGGATGCAAGGGTAACCTTGAAAAGTTGCTCATCCTTCCTATGCGGCCTGACTGTATACTCAGACATCCTCTGATCTGACCTCGGCCCCTTCCCAAGGGGGTACCTTTGCGTCCCGCATCCACTGCTGGCTGTCGTCGGGCACAGTAACAGGCCCGGGAGGCCGAAAGGAAGGAAAAACGCCGGGGCTGAATCAACCACATCATCGGAGATCCTCCGGGTACGGCGCCAGTGAGTCCTCCTCGCAAGTGCGTCATACGTTAATTTGTGCTGTATGTCTGGCCGCGTTGTGGCATAGGCTCCTGGCAGGGTGGCAGATGCTCGCCGTGCTTCCAATTTCCGATTGCCTCCTTTGGATTTCCCTTTCCCTCCACCCTTCAGTCCAAAAGACGCCGGTTGTACGAAAGAGTCGCATTTTTGTGGGTCAGGTCGATCATTTTGCGGTGGTTGCGCAGCTCGGCCCAGGATTTCGATCGCCAGGTCGTTCTATCTTGGCCGATTCCGGGCCACGAACGGCGCTCGAGCTCGGACGCCCGCAGCGGGGTCGCCGCCGCGTCGGCACGACGCGAGCCTGCCATGCCACCCATCGCGCCGCCTTCCCTGGCCATGGCCACCCACGCACGGTGCTGCCAGGTGCTCCTCTGGCCATCGTTCGGACGTCCATTCCCTGTGTTTTTGTTCGGTTTCGTGCGTAGTTTTTTCGCCAAATGATCAAGGATGCTCCTCGATGGTCCTCGCCGAAGAAAAAATGCACACGTCCGAGCGATGCCAAGCCCTGTGCCCCCCGGGGGAGCCCGAGAGAGTGCTCCGGTGGCCCGTGGAGCACCCCCTCGCGAGGCCCCTGTGGGGCTCCAGCAGCATGGGCACCGACGAGCCGGGGGCACCGCAGGCAAATTAGGGGCCCGCCCGAAGCGCGCGGCGGCCCCCGCCCGACCCCGCCATGCCTCTGCGGTCTGCCCCCCCCGCCCCCGCGAGAGGGCCCTTTTCGTTAGCTCACGCATCCCCAGCGACTGGCACGAGGATGTCCAACGAGGAGAAATGGGCTAGCGATGGACCTCGGCGGCCCAGAGGGTGGCACCGACACCAGCATCGTCGGACGCGCGCTCGGGGGACCTGCCTGAAGCCACTCGGTCCACTCGCGCGCCGCTGCTGCTCGGAGCAGCCGCCGACTTGAGAGCCGCACTCGCGTCGACCTCGAGCCGACGTCGACCCCGAGTCGGGCTGGAGTCGAGACGGAGCCCCGAGCTGGGAGCCGAACTGGACACGCACGGATCCGTCGGGTGGGCCCCCGGGAGGCCCCCGAGACGAGCGGCGGAGCCTTGGGGCTCGCCCCGCCCCCGCGGGGGGGAAAGACGGCCGTGCCCCTCGGCTGGGGGGGGGGCCGCTCCTGCGGGACGCTGCCCGGAGTGCCCCTGGCCCGGGGTGCCCCCAGGACTTCCGGGGAGGCCTCCACGGCCTCCGGAGCGCCCCTCCTCCAAGGAGGAGGAGGAGGAGGAGGAGGAGGAGAGGAGGAGGAGGAGGAGGAGGAGGAGGAGGAGGAGGGGGAGGTGGAGGAGGAGGAGGAGGAGGAGGAGGTGGAGGAGGAGGAGGAGGAGGAGGTGGAGGAGAGGAAGAGGAGGAGGAGAGGAGGAGGTGGAGGAGGAAGAGGAGGAGGAGGAGGAGGAGGCGGAGGAGGAGGAGGAGAGGAGAGGAGGAGGAGGAGGAGGAGGAGGAGGAGGAGGAGGAGGAGGAGGAGGAGGGAGGAGGAGGAGGAGGAGGAGGAGGAGGAGGAGGGGAGAGGAGGACTGGAGGAGGAGGAGGAGGAGGAGTGAGGAGGAGGAGGAGGAGGAGGACGACGAGGAGGAGGAGGAGGAGGCGGAGGCGGAGGCGGAGGCGGAGGCGGAGGCGGAGGCGGAGGCGGAGGCGGAGGCGGAGGAGGAGGAGGAGGAGGAGGAGGAGGAGGAGGAGGAGGAGGAGGGGGAGGACGTGGAGGAGACTGGCTCCTGCTCGGGGGGGGCCATCGACCCGGAATCGGCGACGCGTCTCGGCGGCGAGCCCCGGGGAGGAGCGAGACGGGGCAGGCCTGCCTCGGAAAGCGCGAGGGCTTCTGAGAAGCCCCTCCGCCTTCGGGAGCCCCATCGGCGGCGCATGGGCGATCGAAGTTCAACGCGTCCCCCCTGAGCCCATCCCCCCCATTCGTCGGCGCCCCTGATCCGCATGGGCTTCGGGCCACAATTCGGCTTTCCTGCGGCCTTTCGGGACTATCTTGGCACCCCAGGAACGCTCTCGGC